TGTGGAATTCCAGCAACCGAGTTTAAAAGTTTTTTCAGTCAGTGGATAAAATGCTTCTGAGAACATTTTCTGTATTATTACTTGACTTCCAGAATATCATCCTGTAAATGAAGTATTCGACTCAAATATCTAATCAATGAAGACAGTCATTTGATTTGCAGAGTCTGATATTAATTAAGACAAGATTTCATTGGAATATTGAAGCTGATCTTTCGTTTGAACATGAAACCATTTATCGAGATTGGAATGGTACTAAAGGAAGATTGAACATAATCTGATATGGTGACAGTATTTGGACTTGTTAAATATAAACTTTTGTTTAAGTGATTTATCATTTGGAATTACATGATTAATTTCATTACACTCGATTGAGGTTAATGATGATGGTTAACGGTAAGCTTTCACGTACTCTGCAATTCGCTGAATTATTCTGTTCAGGACATAATTCTCTCGTTTCTTTTTCATCTAAATAGTCAAAAACTAAATTGGGATATAAGTAGAGTAAGTTTTCACAAAGGATTCTATTATCACACTGATTTATGTATTAGAAATACAGTAATAACAATAAAACAGTAAATGGTTGATGCGAACAAAATGATGAACCATGATTTACTATTAAGCATAAGGATTGTTTATAATCAGCAATGAATTTCAATCAAATCATGCATCGATCTAAGTTTGAATATAGGAATATGTTGAATTTGATCAGATGGTAGTTTAGTTTGTAAGGGTACTACATTTAAAACAAATGGGTATTGAATCCAAGTTTTAGTGCAATCATTTCTAATGGAATGGAGTTATATGTATTAGGCGAGCACAAAAGTGAATGAGACCAATGGGCTGAATTCCATTGCTAAACACAATGTACAACATTTAAAATACCATATGTGTCTAAACTATGCAGTAGTGCATTTTTATCTTTCATTGAAATCTTGTTTGGGAAAAGGAATTCGGTCATTTCATGCTCTATAAACTGGTATTGACTGACACAATCTACTACATACATACATATATACATCACTTTAAATCTGTTACACTAAATGTCTCAAAGAATGTTGCTCATCATTAATTATTAGAGCGAATGTATCCATAAGATTTATCGTTAATGTTGGTAAGAATGAGACTTTTTCGAGAACTGACAACAGATTTGGTTGGTATTTTACTGTACTGACTTGGTTGAATGTCACATATCAAAATTAAATTTTCAAATGAACTCATGTTTTTGAAAAGTTTTGAAGATGAATTCATTTCTCATATTCAGTTTCTATACAATTCAGTAGATTCATCAAGTGTTCACATTGACAGTAACGAAGACAATAGTTTACGAAAGGATACTCTTAAGTGAGATTATATTCATATCTGTGGAACAATCAATCCACAAGACATGAGGTCACAGATTGACTACAACTAACCTATGCCAAAAATGAATATGTGAGTGAATTATCCGTGCAGCATTTAACTATCAGATAACTTCCCTTTTGTTATCATTCATTGAGTTGCAAAAAGCATTTTGATAAATAGGCTTTCAAAAGTTTCGAAGCCAAAAATACGATAACTTTTCATTTGTAATTGAAATAGTTTACATCGGATTCAGTGATAATAAAGCACGGTATGTGTTATCTTGATATTGAAATAAGACAAGGAGATAGTTTACTTATCTTTTTTGTTCTACTTTTTATCCAATTATCTTCTAAATGTCTCGTGTTTCCAATGATGTAAATGTAAAATGTGTTGCAGAATCAATCAGTCTTTAAGCCATAAATCTATACATTTGAGTGATAAAAACAAAACAATTTTATGTAGCAACATATTGACATCAAACTGAAATTCATTAACGTGAACTTAAGTATAAGCAGCCTTCTGTTTTAGAAACCTAAAAGAGACCTAGAACATAGTAACAAGAGAAACTAGAGATGATTTTTGGTTGTTTTGAAAAGTCCAATAAAGAAACTTGCATTTCTGAATTATTCTAACTTGCTAGTTAGCAATTTATTTGCTTTCGCCTCTACGATAACATTTTGCTAACTTGTGATGAATACTACCAACGAGATTGCTCGTAAGTAATGTGTGGTGCAAAATTATTGTGTGAATTATTGCAGATGACTGAACGAGAGAAGATTTTCAGCAAGTCAAAAAGTACGGCTTTTGTAAAACATTGAAATGCCAGAAGTGATAGCTTAGCACTAACTATATTACAGAACAAATCATGAGATGTAGATGGATGATTGTAAGCGTTTTTGTGCATAATACACAAATATCGCCAAATGGCTTTACTATTCAACCTGGTCAAGATCTAGATTTTTAAAATGCTTTTTCTGTAGATGATATTGTACCTACGAAAGAGTTAAACTATACACTTTACAAAGTTATTAATCAGTCTTTAGAAGCAATTTACAAAGATCTACACCTTTGTTCTGTTTATCCGATCCAATTAAACTTTTGTTTATTGATTCTTGACAGACTATTGGACTAGTGTCATCATAGTTTGTAGGTAAAAAATTAATTATTTGGAGTTGATGTAGAAGTAAAGTTATTTGGGGGGTAAATGGTTTGTAGATTTCGATCCTGAAATCTCGTCACTACCACAACTACAGTCACTTAAATAAGAATGATGAAGATTTTTCAAAATATTGTTAATACTTAACCCGACATCTTCACTTTCTATGTGACTAGTGAGATTTTCTTAGGTTTGCTGACGTTTACTTTCCGGTAAATTGTCTGTATATTCCAAAGTCTTTCATGTCACATCATCAGTTGTATCATATCTGCTTGAACTTAGGATTTCTCCATTTGTCACTTCGAGGTTTTTAGATAAATTGAAAATATTTAATAGATGTAAATAAATTTTTTGCATTTTTACATCTGAATAAGAAGACAATGAAGGTCTAGGAGCTCTATGGTCCAGGTTATCTGAGGTTGTGTTCGTTGGCTCTGATTTCGGTAAATTAATTGTTTGAAACCGGTTCATATAAAATGGATGATCATTAGTCGTATGGTTTATTACAGAAACAGATGGGATGAAGCAAAAGTTATTTGAGTTTTCTGTGGTGGACGAAATTGTATTTGGTTGAGCAATAGTAAAGCATAAAGTTGAATTGTTTCGCATTAGATAATGGTTGAGTTTAGTTGTGTCATCAAATTTCGGTTCATTCAAAGATCCTATCATATTAGTGAACTTTGTATTTGATAACCTTCTGCGTTGTAATGAGTTTGAACGTTTTGACATATGACTGTTTTGCAATGAACGGTGTTTTTGAATCCACTCTGATTCGTTTTGTTTTCAAAAGTGTTAACGCCTTCCGATAGATTCTTTTCATTGGGTGGTGTATAGTCAGAAGAAGCACTATGGTTTGAACTATCCTTTAGCTACGCTATTTGACTCGTCAAAAGACTTATCATTCATCAGTTCGCTATTAGCAGACTCTGAAATAAATGATTTGTCTTTTGGCGAATGTAATATCTCTAGTGCTTGACGCTTAGGTGGTGTTGAATTACCTTAAGCGGTAAAGTGTGAACACTTCCGTGGTTGGCGTTCATTCTGAACAGCTGGAATAATGAAAACTTTCGTCAACTATATGTTGAATATTTATTTGTGATATGAACTTATTGATCTAGTTGGCTATCGATTCAAAGAAACGAATTTTTTTTATTTTGTACATTAGATCAAAGTTTTTGATCTCGTTTTTATGAACTGAGTTTTCAAATTTCTAATTATTGCTCTTGTTGATTACAAACAATGTCACGTTTCATCTTAATGACAACTAAATCTGTCCATGAATTATTGTTCATCACCATTAAAGAGATGAAAATTGTTGAAAATTCTCGACATCAATATCGTCTCACTGTTCATTGGAGTTTAATTTTCATATTGCTTAAACAATGTTGTTTACTGTAGCATTTTACACAACAGCATTATATGATCTACATAGTAGAAAATAACAATGATGCATATAGTATGAGAATGTAATCAATGTTCCTATTGAATAGACTAGTTGATCAGATCATTGTTCTAATATCACAGATCATTAGTTTTCTTATACTACAGATTTAGACTACTTTTAAAATATCCATAATAATAATCCTTGAAACAAGAACAAATGTTGTTCAATGACACATAAACTTTACTGAACTCCTTTTGCTTTTTGATTTGAAATGGTAACAGTCAAGCCTTTTTATGTGTATGACCTATTTTGCCAGGCCACATAAGGTAGGTCAAGTAAAGCTAATGATACTCTTTTGCATTATGATTACTAATTTGACAGTTTGATTAAACGTCTGAATCCTTTCGATTCTGTCATTGATCGTATACACAGATAATCAGTAACTTGACCCAAAGATTGATTACCACCCATAAAAAACATTTTCATATGTAAAATTTTCCTTCTTTTTACTCCCTTACTCCCAAATGTGCTTGCTCATTGAATGCCCATCAATTAAACAAATTATTAACAAAACACACTTTCTTAATACAACTGTTTTCTGGTTTCTGAATATTCTCAAGTGAATTCATAGCGATACTAAGAGAATCAGCCTGCTAAGAAATACACACTTACCAAGTCATCACATGTTAGAGTTACAAATTGAAGAAATAACCTTTACAGAGATTTCAAAAGTATGAATTAGTTTAGCAGAACTCTTTTCACCGATCATGACGGCAATAATCAGTTCAGCTTATGAAAACCATGTATAATAATTGATGTTTATCGACCGAATATTTTCTCATGACTAGTTGAATGTTCATATTAATCGTATGAGATTTACCAAATATCAGGGAATACTCATTATCCTACGACTAACATTTATGCGACATATACGTATTAATGAATCCAGAACTATACTCCCACTCTTCATTTCTCTATCATCTTATTGTTATTATAAGTTATTTATATGCTTTCAACTCAGTCTCATTATGTGTAACTATGATCAGCAGTATAGTAGCAAACTACATCGAATCTGAATTTATTCCCAAACTTGATATAACACACTAGTTGAGGTAATAATTTATTATTCTACACAATGAATATAAACCATAAAATATAGCGATTTTAAATTTCCTTCTCAATAATAGTTCTGTTTATTCTGAATAGAGATTTGGAATGCTGATTTTGTATTATAACTATGGCAACAACAAAAATGTCATTAGGCTAATTGGCACAAAACCAATTCATTAATAATCTAAATTTTCAAGACATGTTGAAAGAAAACCCCGTAAATTTAGTAGGTTTTGAGCATCTAAGATACAGTACATTGGCTGGATATTCTAAAATGATATCTTCAACTATTATAGAATTATCAGTGTGGAGATTTGTAGAGATTGTAGTGATTTCTCAATTGAATTCACGAATCAATCTAAGACAGATCAAAATTGAAAACCTGGAAGCATCGGACTGTTCTTGTATATTGTACGTTGAAGTATATGTTTTATTTATAGGTTTTAATGATTTCAAACAACAATAGAAGAAATTAGGTCTTTTATTGTTAGCTTATTACAAACATCATCCTGAATCTAGAAGGTTGACATTGGTATTTCAAATATCACAATAATATTTCAGTAGATTTATAGATATTGTTAATGAGATGAAAGTCGAGATATAAACTATTGTATTCCACTGAAGAATTGCAGACAGTGATGAGTCAACTATTCAGCTTCTTTTAGTTTCTTGTAATTCTCCACATAAATCCATTCCATCATAAACTTACCTCTTTATTACCAAGTAATGATCTTTCATATTGTACAGTCAAACACTCTAAACACTTCCAACATGATATCCAATATAACTTCATATACATTTGACATTATTATTCCCTAAATTCATCGTCTCATTCATCGAATAAATAAGATAAAATACTTGAATTATTCCATAAAATACTTGTGATAAGCATTTCTTAAATAGATATATGTCATAATTATCATTCATTATTAGACGACTAATGTTCAATGGAATTACCATTTATTATTTACAATATTACTGAATACATTTTAATACTTAAATAATTTCAATAGTTGAAATCATGAGTCAATTAAAGTTAGACCATCATGAAAAACATGAAAGCACTGGACGGCCATTACACCCTATTGTGGGACTCCTCAACAGTGAACATCCACGATACAGCTCCCCTCTCCGTCGCGAGATTCGAACCCAGGACCTATCAGTCTCGTGCACCAGCGCTTCAATCAATCCACCAAAATGGCGCCACTTAAATAATTGTAAGGATAAAAGTCGTTCTTATCATAAATAGTCTACACATTTATTTATTTATTTATTTATATGAACACATGAATGTTGGTACGAGAGAGCACCAATATATGTGCGCCACACAAAACAATGAGAATTCGAAGGGAAATAGAAAAAATAAGCTAAGGAGCTCAAAAAAAGAGAACAATAACGAAGAGATTGGTGTAAGTTAGTGTGATAGTAATGAGGGAAGGGAAAAAACCTTTCAGGTAAGGGAGACACAACCACTTTTTATGAAGAAAGTAAAAGAAGGTTACAGCTGGATCGCCACTGGCTTCTATTCTGAGCCATATCTGATAACGTCTCTAGCCACTGTGTAGCACCGTCTCTCAGACCCCAACCAGGGAGTCGTGAAGGACCAACACAAGCCAGTCCTTTGCAGCTTTCTTTCATGCCACGACACCATGTCATGCACTGACCACCTCTCCGCCTCTTCTAACCAATCTCAGAGTCGGCAAATAATGCACGACGTGGAATTCTCTTGGACGACATTCGTAGAACATGTCCAATCCACCGAAGTCGGTGTTTCAAGATGGTGACACCAATTGAGTTATCATCTCTGTGCCCGAACACACGATGCCGAACCTCTGCATTACTGACATGGTGTTGCCACTGAATGTCAGCAATCCTTCGGAGACAGCGATGATCGAACACAGAGAGTCGTCTAACGTCCTCAACTCGGAGAGGTCAGGTTTCACAAGCATAGGGCAAAACTGCTCTCACCAACGCGTTGTAGATCCGATCTTTTACAGCCAGATTAACATCACGAAGGCGCCAAAGGTGGCACAGATTGGCATAAGCCGCTCTGGCTTTCACTATTCGTGCATTGATCTCATCACTCACACCCCCACCAGCACTTATACAGCTACCCAGATACACAAACTTCTCGACTACGTCTATCTGCTCACCATCCAGGGTGAGTACAGGATTGGAATCCTGCCAGTCTTGTAGAAGTACTTTGCACTTCGAAGGTGCAAAGCACATACCATACCTACGGACACTGATTGCCAACTGATTAAGTGCGGATTGCATGCCTTGGGCATTATCGCACAGTAAGACAATATCGTCCGCATACTCAAGGTCGAGAAGTCTTTCTCCAGGCAACAGATCCCCATCACCATTACTTACATCCATCAGAGCTGTTTCCAGAATGTCATCGATGGCAAAGTTGAAGAGGAATGGTGAGATTGGGCAACCCTGCCTAACCCCACTGCTCCAATGGAACAATGGAGAGGGGTGGTTGTATGCCCTCACTCTGCCTGAGGTGTTTTTATCTGGTGCTTTTAGGATGTTAATAAACTTCTCAGGCACACTCTTCTTCAAAAGACAATCTCAGAGAACAGTCCTGTCCTACTAATCGAAGGCAGCCCTGATGTCAAGAAACACTACGATTGTTGGCCTTTGATAAGTATGGCGGTGTTCTAACATTTGGCAGAGGGTGAAGATATGATCAATACTTCCTCGACCAGAACGAAACCCAGCCTGCTCCTCGCGAGTCAATCTTTCTCGGGTTTTGAACAACCTACGAAGTATGACGGAAGCCAATATCTTGGACGATAGTTGTTACGGGAACGACGTGAACCCTTTTTAAAGATAGGGACAACTATCGACTCATTCCATGACGTTGGTACACTCTCTAGTTCCCAAACCTTTGTAAACAACGTCGTCAATTACTTAGTCAGAAAGTCATCACCATCCTTAAAACGAGCCGGAAGTAAGTCATCTGAGCAAGTTGATTTGTAACGCTTCAAGAGTTGGAGTTCCTTGCGGACTTCCTCCTCGTTTGGTGGATCAGTCGTCACCGGCCATGGAGGGCAGGACAGTCTGACCTATGTTACCGGAGCAGCAGGCCAGTTGAACTGCCCTTCGAAAAATTCTGCCCACCGTCCAAGACGTCGATGGATGTTAGTGACTGGCATCCCATCAGCCTCGCAGATTGTTTCACTCACACCAGACTTCTTGCTGCCAGTGGCTCGAATGAGTTGGAAGA